GCCTTTTATGATCCGTGAATGGTTTACAAGTTCCTTAAAAACTTGTTGGCGGCTCCCTACTTTCATTTTCCCTAATCGTGTCCCTTATCGTATTATGTCAATTCCCACTTCCTATGAGTGCCAAGCATATTCACCACATGCTTTTACGTAGGCGCACTTCAAACGACGCCTACAAGGACCTTTCCAACTTTAAAACCAGTGCGCTTACTCCTTAATTGATCCCTGATTCTTGGAGACATACTTCCTGGGTTTAATTACCACACTTTGAGAATTAAAACAAGTTTTATCACATAAGAATTTAATTCACTTAACAACATAGAGAAATTTCAAATAATTCATTTTATTTCATTAATAATTAATGAAAATACAACTTTGTCATTTAGGACAATTATTGAAACATGAAACAAAAACATAACATAGTTAAAAAACAATCAAATAACACTATGGGCATAACCATCTTCAATAGGATCATAATCCGGATCATCACTTATATTACTTGGTTCGGCCATGAGAGTTGGGTTATAACCACTATAGCTTGGAATAAGGCCTGATGAGCTTAACCCAGATTTACTTATATTTCTGCTCGGGCCATGAATGTAAATTGGGATTTTTTTTCGGGCTTACATCCCCACGAGGTTGGCTTGAAGAAGCTTTGGGGTTTTGAGCTTTTTCGTTTGTAGTTTGAGAACGAGTTCTGGGCCTTTTTGCAACATGGAAATGGGCTTTTGGGCTAGGTTGTTTTGAAGATTCATAGCTTGAAGTATGGCTAAGAGAACGGTAATGATTGCTCCTACCAAGAGGTGGTATGGACTCATCACTAGATTCCACATACTCATGTTGCTTCTTTGGGTATGAAAAAGGTACTTGGGCATTTAAGAAGTACATTTGGTCATTAGGTCCAAAGGTTCGATCTTTTGGGATTGTGGGAATTTTCACAGCTTTCCTCCTTGGTTCATACTTGCGCTCCACATAGTGCAAGTCCCTCTTAAGGCTAGACATGGTTGCCAACCATTTCCCTTCATGATGATGTTTCTCATTCCACATTCCGTCTTCCTTGATCACATCCCCATATTTGTCAAAGAGAGAATGGTATATCTTAATCCTAGGTAAATGGGCCAAAGACAAAAGGACCATCCAAGGTTGTTGGGTCAAGACTTCCTCACCATCCTTCTCATAAAGGGTCGAGGTTTTAAGTAAAAATTCCAGTCATGAACTCACTAACTGAGACTCCACTATCTTTCAAGTAATTAATTAATTTATTAATCATGTTTAAAAAGGGATTAATTTTAAAAGCATGTTGAATTTATTAAAAAGGAGTTTGGATTGTTTTCATTAAAGGTTGAATTATTGGATTTAAAAGAGGATTTATTGAATCATTGAATTATTATTATTATTATTATTATTATTAATGCTTTATAAGCATGTTAGTAATCCCACTATGCGGATTTGGTTTATTGATAAGGCCTTGGACTTTGTATGACCGGGTCTTTCCTCAAGAATAGCCTTGTAACATAAGGAGACTAGCTTGGGGGTGTGCACACTTGGGAGAGGAATTGGTTTAATTAATTTCATTGGTTTTATTGGTTTATTATGAGGAATTGGTTTTTATAATATGAGAAATTGGTTTTAAAATAATTGGAATTGGTTTTATTGATTGTTGAGATTGGAATATTGAGAATTTGGTTTTGAATCATGAGTTTTGAATTATTGGAACTGGTTTTAAAGCATGTTTGCAAATAAATTGAGTTTAATTATCTTGCACTTACCGTACTTAGCATATTTTGCTAACCCGTACTTCTTATTTGTTTTGGTTCGCCTTGTTTACCGTAATGTTAAGTAGTGTTATTTCAGGTGAAGTGAATAAAGTGATGCATTGGAGTCCCGGGATTTGGTTTCACTAAATTAGGAATCTTGGTCTTTGTATTTAATTTGAGTACTCATAACATTGGTTTCTATTTATAGTTATTATTAATAAGAAGAGTTTTGAAGTTTCCGCTGCAAAGTATTGTTTTGTTTAGTAAGTTTAGTAGCCTTGCGTAATCACGCGGCGGTAATACGCCTAACTCTATCTATACGGTATAATTATATGTATTATACTAGTATTTCCGTTGAGGGAGATTTGGGGATGTTACATGTCATTTTATGGTTGGTCCTTTTTTGAACAAAATAATTTAAATACATTTTCTAATTAATTAATGAAATAAAAACTTTTTCAATTAAAAATTTTAAATAAAAATCTTGAATCATAATTAAAAATTAAATAAATAAAATTAAAAAAAAATCTCATCCACCTCCACTCACCCACACTAGCCTTCCCCCCCCCCCCTGCCAGCAGCCGGTGGCCAAAAACGGCTTCTTTCCACCGTTGCCGGCGACGGGATCGTCGACCCCACCTCCTCCCCCTCCTCATCCCTTTCACAATTCCCACATCCCCAACCCGACTTTCCCGTTCATCCCTCAATTCAACTCCCCCAATTCAACAGCCCCCAACCCCAAAACCCTAATCCCAGCCCACGAAACCACCTGAAACGACACCCAAACTCATTTATGGTGGTTTCGTGGGTTGGGTTTAGGGTTTTGAGGTAATGTTTCTGAGTAGAGAAGGGGGAGTGGGGCGATTCAGGTGGGGGACGAGGAGAGGGGCAGTTTTCGATTAGAGGAAATGGGTGGTGTTGCCGTGTCGGGGTAGGGGTCGAGAAGCGGCCAACGGGGATGGGAAATTATTAAACTAAAGGAGTAGGGTGTCATGGGTGGGAGAAAGGGAGGGGAATGGGGTCACTGGCCGCCAAGGGATGGAGGTGGTCGCCGGCGCCGGCCACTGGCAGGGGTTGGCAGTGGTTGGGGGAAAAGGTGGTTGGGCTTTTTTTTTTCATGATTTTTTTTTTGAAGGATATGATTTTTTTTAAATGTTTATATTTTTTTTTTACTTAATATAATTATAGTTAAACACTTAATTAGATTTAATAAAGTAATTTTACACAAAAAATGACCTGTTTGGTAGGTTGTAGGTCTTTTGGCCTACTAAAAGAAAAGACCCCTTAAAAGTCGACTTATTTTGAGTTAATAGAAAGGTTGACTTATTTTAAGTTAACCACGCAAAGGTTGACTTATTCTTGATAAATTTTCCAATTAAAAATGAAAAAAAGCTGACTCTACATTGGTACGTTATAATGTACCATTATGCATGTATAATCAACCCTGTAGCAAGCCCAGGGCAGGTGGGGCAACCGCCCTGGGCCCATCACATTAAAGATCAATTTAGTTATAATCAAGCCCCCAAATTAAGTAATTAGAAAAAAATAATAATAAGTACTCCATATTTGAGTAATTCTCAACAATTTTCAAAGTAGATTAAAGTCATTAAATACATCATTTAGTTTTCTATAATTAAATTTATTGAATATTTTAAAAATTTAATTTCTGGAGTAATATAGTACTCGTAGTTTCTCTTTAAATTAGTTTTTCCAAAACCTACACAAAGTCAAAGTAGTCCTTAATAAATATGCTAATTAACTATGAGTATCTCTTAAATTTTCAATGCTGGGCAATATCAATTCTGTTTGGCTTCGACTGTCTATCGTCACTCTCTCATCAATTCAAATTATGTTATATTTTCTAATAGTTCAAGTTTCATGTTCAATTTATCAATTAGTTCATTTTAAAACTTTTATCTCTTGTATTTTTTATATAGTTAATATAATTTGTTCAAAAACATAATTAATACTCCGTATAATTTGTGTTTGATGATTTTTATTCGACAAATTGAATTTAATCAAGAAAAATAAAATAAGCAACAACAATTAGTTTCATTTAGTTTGTTTTCTTTTTCTTTGGTGTGGAATAAAATGATGAATAGAAGTATGGAACAATGACTTCTTATTATTTGCTCTTATAAATAAAACAAATGATACTACGGAGTAATTTGTATCTTTTATTTTTTTTTTTTTTTTTTTGAAGCAATTTGTATCTTTTATTTTTCAGATTTGATATTAGAATTTTGGAGTTAAAATTGAAGTAGCTAGTCTTTTTTCTTCAAAAAATAAATAAATAAAAAAAATGAAATTATAAAATACGAGTATTTTTTTTTTGGTGCAAATAAAATACGAGTAATTTTCTTTGGGGATTGCCCCTGATGATCACCAAAAAAAAAAAAAAAACTTATTAATTAGGGCCTCATATCATATATTCGCCCCAGGCCACCAATATCTCAGAAACGGGTCTGTGTATAATGTACTACTATTTAAAGTATAAGTTATCTTAATAGTACTTGTTGTGTATTATTATGCATGTAGTGATACTTTTTGCTATCTTATGTTGTTACATATTTTCTCCCAAAATACCTACCCTATGTCACCTATTAATCTATTATGCATGTAGTGTTACTTTCTGACATCCTATATGTTTGCTAACTAATAACAATTATGCGTTGATACTTAACCCTTGCTACCCGTGCATGACTATTTTTGTTGACAAAACCGTACATGGGCTAAAAATATAGTCATTTCGAAAACCGTACATGGGCTTTAAATTTAAATTAATCCAAGTTTAATTAAGCTAGTTGTATAATACATTTGAACTACTTAAATTTAAGGCTTTTAAGCCTCATAAACCATGTATTTAATCAATAAGACAGCACAAGTAGTTGACATTAAACAAAGAGATCAAGTTAAAAAAAAAAAAAGCTGGTACTTAACAATCATATATGATATCAAAGATCATGCACCCAATTATATACACTAACATTAATCAAACAGTTTATTTTACTAAATATAATCGAATTAAAAACCATATATTATAAATTTTTTGTCTAACTTGTACAACTTAACATTGGACCGTGCCATCACGCCTTCTGTACGTAACTACAAAATATTGCTTTCACCTCTAAACTCAATTGATAAGCCACCATTTGGCAATTTTTGTGGGACCCTCTCCAATCTGGCAGGAGAAAGATTCATAACATAACCAAATAATTATAAATTAAACTTAGTGCTTAACAAGTTAACATTATCATATTACACAATATAGTTCAACTTAAGCAAGTAATTAATAAAGTTTGAAGAATTTCTCTAATTAAATTTGTTTATTTCTTCTCTTTAATTAACAAGTTTTTGGTTTTGAGAAGGCCTGTTCTTTTGCTCTTCTGTTTGCTCTCTGCATTTGTGTATTTGCGGAAGTAGCAGAATTGCATAAGCAGGAAAAGGCCTAGCTTAATTACTTCATCACAAGAAGTAATTAATAGAGATTATTCAGAGTAATCACTTGCTTATTAATTAGTCTCCATATCTATTAGTCGTAATGGCGGATTTATCCAAAGGTACACATATTAAAGTTTTTTAATTCTTCTTATGAGTTTCCGCTAAACTAGCTGATATTTACATATATTAACATGTTAAAGGTAAGATTTAGCTAGAGGGTTTTATGTTAAGCTATAATGTGCATGCACCTCACATGTCGTTGCATATATAAAACATAATTAGAAACATAATATTGTTGGAATAGATGATTATTAGATAGTCTATAACATCATAAGTTGTTTTCTTGTGTGCTTTTACTTTTTTTTCGGAATTTCAATAACTACATCAATGGGTTAATTATTATGAAGTACGGAGTATTAGATGTGATATAGAATGCCCATAAGGCTACAAAAGTCCTCTTCTTGGTGTGTGTATGCCTATAAGAAGCCGCATGTACCACATATGTCTAGCATATATGAAAAACAAGCATCTATTTTTTTTTTTAAATTATAGTAATACTTGTATAAGCTACATCTAGCATATATGAAAAACAAGCATCTATTTTTTTAAAAAATTATAGTAATACTTGTATAAGCTATTCATGTACTTGTGTTATGTTTGAAATAATGAATAGGTAACGAGGACAAAAGTGTTACGAAGACGAGTAGCTTCAAGATCTTTGGGAAAAGCCCAGCACGTACCTTGTCTTCCAAGAAAAGTGCAAATCCATTAATGAAGATGTTCTCCCGCAGCAGGAAGTTAGGTATTTTCTTATCTTTTCTTATCTCTTTAATTTTTATTTCTTCAACTTGCAAAGATAATTAAATAATGTGTCTATCAGTCAATTAATTAAAACGTGTATGGGTTAAATTAGTTTGATTTAATCAACCTTTATAATAATAAGTTCCAATTTTATAAGAAAGTTATATTTATCATCACACCACTTTATATAAAATACGTGTATAACTGTATAATATGATAACTAAATTGTTTTTCTTTTTGTGAAAGAACATGGTAACTAATTTTAAACAATTGATTATTTACTTATTCTATTCTTCTAGTATAGTAACATCTAATAAAGACAAAATAAATCTATTTCATAGTAGAAAAATATGATACTCCGTAGTTATAAATTACGACATGTTTATGAGGTGTGCAATATTAAAGGTGCCAAGAGAACAGGTAAAACGGGCTAACGACATGGCTAGAAGATGTCGTATTACTTTGTCTACCTTTTCTTAGTTTGTTGTTCTTTTGTTATTGTAAAAAAAATATGTGTAAATAGAATTTGTTGAAAATTTGAAATTCTCTATGTACGGTACAATGTTCTATGGCAATTATTCTATTCTTCTTACATAAAAAAAAAGGCCATAAATTGAAATCTAATCTTTTACGTACCTTTGATTAATTCAACCATAAACCGATTTAGCTATATAATTTGTCATCCATAAACGTATTTTGTACTCAAACATCACCTTCTACATACCTTCATACTTATTCAACAAAAAATGAATATTCTTGGGCTGAAATTTCTTCTTGTTTACGTACTCTAATATGATAATAAGTCAACGAGCTCAATTGTATCATAACATGCATGCATAAGCATTGCGCCCAAAATCCATTATTGCCGACATATATATAATATGAAATCATAATTATTTGATTATTATTATATTGGACTCAAGCTAGAGCCTTATTTTTCGCTTCCTTTCTCTCTGTTTCTTCTTATCTAAACTAAGTGTTACTCTAAGACCATCTCTAATGGTAAGACTCTAGTGAGTATTTTTAGGAGAGAGATAGTATTTTTTGCAATGTATACAAATAAATTGGTATCTAAACTTAGCAACTCCAAAAGAAAGTTGCTAAGTTTGGATACTCAACTTTGAGTCTCATTTGACAAAAAGTGTGGGCCCTTGTCAATATTCTAATATATTTTGTAATTTATTTAAGTTTTACTTATTTTTTTTATTATTTTTTAATCTTATAATAATTGATGGGGCATAAATTGAAAGTGACATTTGTATATTTTAGAGAGTCTCACCACTGAGAATTTAGACTTCATGTGAGTTGCTAAATTGAGAAAGTAGGTATGGTATCACCATTGGAGGTAAAAAAAAAAAAAAAAACTCATTTTGTATTTCAATACTCAAACTTGAGTCTCACCACTGGAGATGGTCCAACAATAGATAACATATAGACACTGGTGTTAAAAGACCCATTCAACCAAAAGATTATGCTCCATCACACGAGATTCCATTGGGCTTGAAGTGTGGATGAAGCATGGACTCTCCTTGAATATCTATCTGATCACGGTTGCTTGTGTGTAGATAAGAAAACTGATGGATCGGAGTATGCTGATGAAAGCGACCCAAGTAACACTATTGAAGCAGATACTGAGGTGATCGGAGAGACAGCTCCGGCAACTCTCCTAGAAAAACTCACAGAAGATGCTCCAAAGTTTATTGAAGAAGTGGTTAGTACTTATGCTAATAAGACAGAGAATCTGGCTTCAGAGTTGTAAGTTATATATATTGTCTTTTCTATACTGCCTATCTAATTTGTAAATCATTGGATCATTTTTATAAGGAATTTTATATACATAAAAGAACATTTTATGTAACGATTTTAAACAAAATTAAATACTAGAACATCTTTATGGATGGAACAAAAAAGAGATCGGATTATGCACATCATACTTTTTAATTTGCATGTAATAAGTGCTTTTGACTAACTTATTAATTACGAGTATGAACTTTATTTTTATGGATCTATAGTTTTTGCTTAACTGTTGTTGAATACATTTATACATGTGTTTTAAAGTGAGGTAAATTGGTGATAATATTGCAGGACAAAGGCTATTCCAGTTGCCGAATCCAAAGAGTCTACTCCAGGTAATTTTAATTATAATTAAGCATCCAATAATGTAATTCTTTAGTGTCAAATTTTATCATTATAATATATACTGACAATACTGTATACTAGTTAATGACCAATGCACGTACTTTCTTATATTTTGTGTAACACATAATTTTGATTTTTGACAATTGATATCCTTATTTTAAAATTAGGTTATGCCATTGAAAAATAACACCATTTTGACAATTAAATTAAGGTTATGACATTGAAAAACATAATATCCCCATGATAATTGGATTATCTCACATTCTTGTATGTGTGCGGCAAGTCATCATAGGATTATTTCATTAGTGTTACAATAGTTACTCGGGCAGTGTTATAGGGTTATTCGGATGGTGTTATAGAGTTGTTACTTTGTCAGTGTTATAAGGGTTACTTGGTTAATTAGTGTTTTAGTGAAAATTCTACTGTGGTCGTTTGAAATATGACTATCATAATATTTTAATAAGCAACATTTATGGACGTGATTGCAGCAGCTGAAGAGAAGAAGAAGCCAGAGTTCTTTAGCAAAATAAAGAATGGAGCTGAAAAGGCCAAGGAAGAGCTACAAAGTAAAGCCAAGGAAGAGCTAAAGAAGGTAGAAGGCGGTCTTACGGAAGCATACAAAGCATTCACATCAACATACAACAAGGCCACAACAATTGAGCAACAACCTATAGATGACAAGAAACTCCAAGATGTTAAAGAGGTCAAAACCGATGAAGCGGCGAACGTGCCTGTGCCATTGTCAAGTCCAACTCCAACAGGGCTAGACCATCAAGATGATAATGTTGTGGCTGCTACCAGAGCGGCTGAGCCAACTAAAACGGAGGCAACGACAACGACGACGACAACGGAGGCAGCTAGTCAGCCAGGAGATAACCCTGAGAATAAGCAAGAGGTAAATTGTTTCACTTATTTGGCAGAAGAGCTACAAAAGGTGTGTGCAACATGGAACAACAACAACAAGAAAGAAGAATAGTGTTTATATTTTAATTCTTTTTGCATGGATATATGTAAATGTATCCAATGGTGTATAATTGGGTTTTAATTTTAATTTGCAATTTTAAATTTGTATTGAATTGGTTAATTACAAGGTTGCATGTATAACCTTGTTGGGTGTGGAATGATTGCAAGGATACTTTGTGAATATCATAATATTAATTGATCCTTTTGTTATATTTTCGTGCATGTAATTGTACGTAAAGAAGAAATTTCATAGTTATCGATGTATTTATAATTAATTGCTCAGTGTACTTTTTTTCCTTACAGTTTTATTAATGAGAGAAGAAAATTAAGAACTGAACTGTATTTATTGGAGCTGAGCTGAAAATAATCTGAAAAGAACAGGCCCTAAGACTAGTACATTCTATGGAGTAATTTCTTTATTTACTTGTTTTGGGCAAAATTATTGTTGTATTACATATATTTTTTAAGTAATACTTAGTAGTTCGAAAGATAAATAATATATATAATTTTTTTTTTTTATCTATTTTGAATATTGTGTAACTAACATTTGGCAATCATACTATGGAGTATTTGCAATTTTGCATACACTCCATGACTCTTTGTTTATGAATATGATTTCTTATATTATAATAATAAATTGAATATAATAATTACAATTTACAACCAAAATCAACATAGTTGCAAAAGCAAATCCCATGTACACCTTTTCTTGAAGTGATCAAGTTAAATTATTTTGCATTACTAATATTGTATTGAAGTTAACTTTCATATAAAAATGAAAGTTAGTAATTTTAAAACTTTTTATTAAATATGGACCAACAATTGTTAATATTATTATTAAAATAACATGTTGATTAGATATTTTTGTTGATTTAGCGGTCGTTTTATTGAAAATAATGTGTGTAGTTTAAAGATATGACATGTTCATTAATTGTTTAATTACAATACCAAAAATAAAGTGGGAATATAAATTGTTTATGCTAATTTTCGTTAGGTGGGATTGAATATCAAAATCTAGGCTACGGATCAACTAAATAAAACCGTGAATAAAACTAATGCAACTATAAAGAAATAACACAAAGAATTGTTGACGCGGAAAACCCGATGAAGGTAAAATCCGCGGGTAGAATGAGGATTTACCAAACTTTCACTATGCAAAATATCAAAGGAATCGATTTACAATGTATGCTTAAAGTATTTTAGTAGCTAGGTTGCAATGTGTCTACCGTTGATAGTGCCCTACCTGTTTAGGGTGAAAATACCCTAAGACACGTGGCCCAATAAAGGCTTGACACGTGTCAATCTTTCAACAGTCTGCAAAGGCCCAATCCCTTTGCGACACGTGTCCCTTGTACCCTAATTGAGGTACAGTTCTCCCTTACTATAAATAGTAAGGGTAGACCTCATTTATGGGGATCACACATTAATTACAACCACACAAAAACAAAGCCAAAACCTACTGAAACGCTCTCGAACCGAGAAGCTTTTATCGTTCTTATTCCACTTCGAAAAGATACTAACTTAATCTTCGGAGGCGGAACTCCCACCCCCATCCGGAGTCTCCGTTACTTGTGCAGGTACAGGCGTAAGAAGGAAGTCTGCTAGGAAATCGTAACTCTCCCGAAGGACATTAAAGACCCCCAAACATCTGGCGCCGTCTGTGGGGAGAGTACTTTCTAGATGACATCTGAGCCTATACTACCTGGTAAAGGCAATCTGCCTACTGGGGAGGTTGAGGTCCATTCGGACCAAGATACAGCCGATAACTATGACTTGGAAGCCTACACTGTTGCGGATGGCTCTTTAAGGACCAAGAACACCCGTTCCAAAGATAAGAGAGAACGGGAAGGGAACCAGGCGGCTCCTAGCAAGCCAACTAGGGGGCCGCTTGGGTTAACCTCTACCGCTGGAGACTCCCCAGTCTCCAGAGATGAGCTCATGAATATGATGATGAGCTTCAAAGGAGAGATCAAAGGCCTTCTGGACAATACAGCCGGCCCCCGTAAGGGTCAGGCGGAAGAAAGGCGTCACGGTAAAAAGACAGCCAAAACAGTAAAAGGTAGAGCATCTACCCCGCATCCGAAGTCAAATATGCCGGCTAGGCTCTTTGATTTCTCAAAGATGCACACTCCTGTAGATGGGGTAAGAAAGCCCGTCCGGCACATTCAGCCGGATGGAACAAAGAAAGTCTATTCTGACGCCCGGACGCTCATCCAAGATAAAAAGACTCAGCGATCCGAGTCGGCATCAACATCGACCTTTCGAGACAGCTTCAATGCTACCTCAGGAAGGCACTCGAGAACAAACAATGACAGCCGGACGAGCGAGGTTTCCGCTCGATCCGGCCCTCATATGATCCAACCGGCAGTGCATGGAACACCGTATACGCCCTTTAGATCCCCCTATGCACAGGCAGGTATTTTCGGGGGGCAGCATCAGCCGCCCGTCCAGCCTATGGACTGGCAGCTCCGGCTGCTCAACCTTGGGGAACAGCCAACGGCGTTCTCCAGAGAAATCACCGAGATGATCCAGCCGTCTAAAATCAAAAACGTGTTGGTAGGCGCCTACGACGGTACCACCAACCCGGAAGATCACCTCATGGCATACACCAACCTGATGTATTTGCAGGGTTTGGATGACGCCTCATGGTGCCGGTGCTTCCCGGCTACGTTGAAAGGGATTGCTCAACGTTGGTTTGGTAACCTCCCAGCCGGATGCATCAATAATTTCAGGACCTTGGCCTACTGGTTTACGTCCAACTTTTCTATGAACATCCCTGCCAAGAAAACAAGCCTTGATCTAGGGGCAATACAACAGGGAGACAAAGAGGGGCTCCGGTCATATGTCAGGCGGTTTAACCTGATGAGGATCCAAATCCATGGATTGTCTGATGACGTTGCCTATACTGATTTCTTCAAAGGCTTAAAAGATGGATCAACTTTTAAGTTTGACTTGGTTAGGAAGAGGGTCTCCACTCTTCACGAGGCGCTCATGAAGGCGGAGGCCTACATTCAGGCAGTGGAATTGTGTGCTGTTAAACTTCCAACGGATTACAAAAGATCCGATAAAAAAGAGAGTCGGCCTACCCAGTCGGCCAAAAAGGAAGACAAGAGAAAGGGGGTATGGGCGGCAGACTCATCCGGACAACCTTTCCAGAAAAGGAAGAGGTCGGATCCGTATGTGCCAAAGTACGAGTTCAACAAGGACTGTGCCTCCATTCTCAACGAAGTAAAGGACCGGTTGAATCTTGAAAAACCGTCTCCTATGAAGAGTCCTATTAGCGCCCGGGATAAGAGCAAATATTGTCTTTTTCACGAGGAAATTGGCCACGACACTGAGGGTTGCTTTAGCCTCAGGCGGCTCTTCGACCGGCTCGCTGATGAGGGGGCTCTCAAATCTTATCTTTCCAAGTCAAGGGGTACTCCTAAACAAGCAAGAGGACCACCCCCAAAGAAGACGGCTACTCAATCGGATATGGATGAGGAAACCATCCTCACCATAGCCGGTGGATTTGCGGGAGGTGGGCCTACCATCCGGGGCACAAAAGACAACATTCGGAAACTGGTCAACTCAGTGGATGAGGGCCAGTCGTCTGAATATTCATTTCCGGAAGTTAACATCTCCGAGAGAGATAGAGGCGAGGTCAGGCGGCCTCATGATGACCCCATAGTCATCGAGTGCAAAATCGCCAATCAAAGAGTTGGCCGGATCTTGATTGATACCGGGAGCTCATCTGACCTCATCAGCTACCGGTGCTTGGAGAAACTCAAGTATAAGCCCAGTAGCATGCATCCGGCCTCATACCCTCTTGTAGGTTTTGGGGGAGGAGTAGTACATCCGGTGGGCATGATTGATCTACCCATCCGGTTCGGAGAGAAGGGTAAGGGCCGGCATATGGTTGTCAAGTTTCTTGTTGTAGAAGAGCTGACTGCCTACAATCTGATTATTGGCCGTCCAACCCTTAACCTCTCAAAGGCAGTCATCATCCCATCTCTAATGTTGATAAAGTTTGAAAGGGATGATGGCACAGTCGGTTCCTTGAGTGGGGACCAAAAGATGGCGAGAGAGTGTTACCTCTCGGACATCAAACCAACGCTTGACACAGGCGGTCAAAAGAAAGAAATTGTTGAACTTGACGACTGTGATCAAAGCTTACCGGCTACAAAGCCAGCCGGTAAAAAGAGGAAGGCGGACCAACTGGCGCCTGTAAAGGAGAAACAATAGCAATCACTGTCCGGGAAGAGGACAGACGTCCTTCGCCCTCAGCCGGCTGGAGAAATAATTGATGTTGTCCTTGAAGACAGCCGGCCAGACAGAACCGTCAAGGTTGGAACGGCTGCGTTTGAAAGTTTGGGATCAGATTTGCTCCTTTTGCTGAAGGAGTTCAAAGATGTGTTTGCCTTTGAAGTAGAAGAGATGCCGGGTGTAAGTCCGGATCTTGCTGTACATAGGCTCGCTGTGGATCCTAAGAAGAAGCCGGTCAGGCAAAAGAAACGGAACCATGGCGAGGAAAGGTCCCAGGCGGCAGCAACCGAGGTCAAGAAACTCTTGGATGCTGGATTCATCCGGCAATGTTACTACCCGGATTGGGTATCCAATGTCGTCCTTGTGAAAAAGCCGAATGGAACATGGCGGATGTGTGTAGATTACACGGACCTCAACAGGGCTTGTCCGAAAGATAGCTACCCGCTTCCAAAGATAGATCATTTGGTAGACTCTACAGCCGGCCATGCCCTGATGAGTTTCATGGACGCCTATTCCGGCTTCCATCAGATACCCTTGTGGAAGAAAGACCAAGAGAAGACGGCTTTCGTCACAGATCAAGGGCTATATTGCTACACGGTGATGCCGTTTGGGTTGAAGAATGCGCCTGCTACTTTCCAGCGAATGATGAACTCGGTCTTTTATGATCAGATTGGAAGGAACGTGGAGGCGTACATTGATGATATGATTGTCAAGTCAAAGCTGCAGGCGGATCATCTAGCCGACCTCCGAGAAACTCTCACCACCCTCAGACGGCATAAAGTCATGTTAAATCCAAAAAAATGCGTCTTTGGAGTTGAGTCCGGGAAGTTTCTTGGATTTTTGATTGATCAGAGGGGCATAGAGGCCAATCCGGACAAAGTACAGGCGGTGATTGACATGCAGTCGCCACGTACCGTCAGGGAGGCTCAAAAGCTTACCGGTTGCCTGGCGGCATTGGGGAGATTCCTCAGCCGGTCAGGTGACAAGTGCCTGTATTTCTTTCAAGCAATCAAAAAGAGGTCAAGG